TATATATATATATATATTTGAAGTAATTGAACATTAGAAATTAAAACAATTCAAAAGATTTCTCTTTAACTTGAATACATTTTTGTGCAAGATAGCAATCTTAATTTTCACGCTTTCTGATTTCAAATTTAATTACACCATGCATGTATCAAACAATGGTAACAATTTTCTTTTTTTGTATCACTCAGTAAATTAAGACTATATTTAAATTAACTAATCACTACTATTTTGTTTTAAATACTATTATTTTTTTCTAAATTTTACAATTATTAAAAAATATACCTTGTATATGCATGAAACATGCATATAAATTGGAAATACGTTAAAAATATAAATAAGTAAACCCACAGTTATTACACATAAATTTTTAAAATAATAGCGGACGGCAATCGTAATTTGCAAGGTTTAGATATATTGCGTGAATGCAAACTAAAGTAAGCCTGAAGAAAAAGCAATTGTAGCAAACGCGTTATCTACAATAATATCGCTCGCGTGTAAACGTCGAACTAAATTTGAACCAGCGAAGGACAAATGCACGACACGAAAGCAAGTAACGCTGGAAATTTCTTAATAACTTAATAATTATAAAATTATATGAATAAATTAGGCAATTTGTCCATTTATTTTCTCACGAAATAATAATTGAAATCCATAGAAGATTATTTTAATCCACTATTCTCGTGAATTGTTCGCTCAAGCTGTATTCGTTAGCAACGTTACCAAATCGGGAAACAAGGTGTTTTGTCACACTGACAGACGGCTGAGCGTATCGTCGCGTAACGTGTCTGTCAAAAATATTAAATATTCGGCGAACGATTGAGATACTTACAGCGATGTGTTCAGATAGCGATTTATTGTCTGCTGAGTTTGTATTTCGTAAGCCGACGACGCATTGCGATAACCTTTTCACTTTACGATCTCTGGAAACGATCGACGTCCGACATCAAGCAGACACATCAGATGAAAGCACAACGTATACTGTGAAATACTGCCCCTACCTGTATTAATCGAATGCTAAATTGTCCACGTACAGTCACTGAAACAAGTTTAACCAATGAACGTAATATGTATTAGATTTGAAACCCATTGGACGTATTCAGGTTGCCGCTCAGAGCGCGGGATGACGAAGAGGACACTAGCTTCGTTTTATCTCTCTCTGTTGCGCAGCGCATTCCACCGAACGCAACCAATATCTGGGCGTTTAGCGCCATCTGTCGGCGTAATCGCCGAACTATCATCATCGAACTGAAATGTAGTCATCTTTTTGTTGTGCGTTCCGTCTTGACAGTTACAAGGGGCATATACATTTGAAAATTCGATGCAACAGACTTAAATGGCCGCTGGAGGATCGTCAAAGTGCTCGATCCGGCGGCACACTTAGATTCGTGCATGTGTCTTGTTTCAACGAACGTTATAACGTCGCAATTCAGTGCGCCCGACACGCCGGCCGTGCAGAAAAACTTGTCGACTTCCATGTCATTGTCTTGCTAGGTAAGCTCGATTCGAGAAACCGTTCTTCGGATGTTGAAACTGATGAGGCATCGCTTTCGGTTCTGCCTACCGTAACGATCCTTCCTGATTGATAAATGTCTTTTAATTATGATTTCTCCGGCGAACAAACTGCACATAAGGACATTGCACTTCACAGCTGAAGGGAAGATGCTTGTGATTCTGAAATTACTTTACATGCTTCAATCTTCAGTTCTGCCTTGAGATTCGAAAAACATTGTCTATTGATTATTTCTATCGTTTATTGATAACTCTTTGTTCGCATTTATTTGTTTAATATAACAGAATATAGAAGTCATTGTCTTAAGCAGGTGACTTCTGATTTCAAGGCATAAAGTCCCAGTAAACACGAGATTAAAAATAGGTCAAATGTGTTTTAAAGTTACATGGCTCTAAAATATAAATTTTCAGTGCAAATCAATGCCGCAAATTTGAAATAATATATTTTGGATTCTATGTTTACTGGCACTTTTATGCTTTTTTTAATAAGGAATCACTTTTAAACTACTGATTTCTATTTTGAGAACATATGTTCCTTATGTTTTAATATTGCAATGTTATTTTTATATGATAGAAGTTTTAAGTAAATTATTCTTTTAGGATAATTAATCATGGAACAAGATACAGAATATATGAAATTACCTTTGGAGGAGCGTCTCACACATAAGGTAATAATTTCTTTATTATTTGTTGCGTGTTTTTTTACTTCAACAAGTTTTATGAAAAGGTGATTGCCACAATTGATAAATATGATAAAACTGATTGCTACATAAATAACATCGTACGTATTTATGCACAGTCTTGGCGTGCACGTTTACACGGATATGAAGAATGTGTGAAGACGTTCCAATGCATCGACGACGAAAAGTCACCAGAGTGGAGCAAGTATGTGGGATTCATCAAGAAGTTTGTGGTGGATAGCAATGCAGCCGCGCAAGAGAAGGGCCTGGAGGCTGCTCTGGCTTTCGTGGAAAACGCAGCAGTGGCCAGCAAGATAGTCGTCGATATGATGAACGGCATTGTGTCCAAATGCATCGCCGCGCCGAAGGCCAAAACGAAGGAACTAGCCGTGCAGATCACGCTGATGTACGTCGAGATCGAGAAGCACGAGATGGTGCAGGAGGAACTGCTGAAGGGCACCGAGGCGAAGAATCCAAAGATCGTTTCGGCGTGCATCGCCGCTCTGACGCTGGCGCTCAGGGAGTTCGGACCCAAAGTCATCAACATGAAGTCGTTGATAAAAAGAATGGCGAGCTTCTTGGAGGACAGAGACAAGACGGTGCGGGAGGAAGGCAAGGCGATGGTGGTGGAGATGTACCGATGGATGGGCGACGGCCTGAGGCAGCAGTTGAACACATTGAAGCCTGTGCATGTGACGGAACTCGAGGCGGAGTTTAGTAATCTCGCGGACGAGAAGGTGACGCCTACGCGTTATCTGCGCTCGCAGAAGCCGAAGAACTTGGGCACGAATGGCGACTCGGCGGCGGGCAGCGACAACGCGGACGACGGCAACGAGGACGCGGACGTTTCGATTCCAGCTATAGATCCTTACGACCTGCTGTCGCCGGTCGACATCCTGTCCAAGTTGCCGAAGGACTTCTACGAGAAGATCGAGGCGAAGAAGTGGCAGGAGCGCAAGGAGGCGCTGGAGGCGCTCGAGAAGCTCGTGAAGAACCCGAAACTGGAGAACGGCGACTACGGCGACGTGGTGAGAGCCCTGAAGAAGATCATCTCGAAGGACACGAACGTGCTGGTGGTGACGCTGGCGGGCAAGTGTCTGGCCGGTCTGGCCGCCGGCCTGAAGAAGCGATTTCAACCGTACGCCACGGCCTGCCTGCCCGCCATTCTGGAGAAGTTCCGCGAGAAGAAGCAGTCGGTGGTGCAGGCGCTGCGAGAGGCGGCCGACGCGATCTACGAGAGCGTCAGCGTCGATCTCATCCTCGAGGACACCCTCGCCGCGCTGGAGAACAAGAATCCGGCCGTGAAGGCCGAGACGGCCGCCTACCTGGCTCGGTGTTTCACGCGCACGCCGCCCGCGAGTCTCAACAAGAAGCTGCTCAAGTCTTACACCGGCACGCTGCTGAAGACGCTGAACGAGCCGGATCCGACGGTGCGCGACAATTCGGCCGAGGCGCTCGGCACGGCGATGAAGCTCGTGGGCGAGAAGGCGATGATGCCGTTCCTCACCGACATCGACAATCTGAAGATGACGAAGATCAAGGAGTGCGCCGACAAGGCGGTAATCATCGTGAAGGTGACGAGCGGCGCGAAGAAGCAGGAGCGACCCAACACCGCTCCGGCTAAGGTGGAGTCGCACAAGGCGAGCAAGGAGAGCACGAAGATCGTGAAACCGAGGAGACCCAACACCGGCACTATAGTCATCAAGAAAGCGACGACCAAGAAGCCCGGTGGCGGCTCGTCGCTCACAAATCTCGCGCCGTCCGCGAAGAGAGCGATTCAGATCGAGAAGAATTACACGCCGGAGGAGATCGACGAGATGGCGGCGCAGCTGCTGCCAGCCGAGGTGATCGCCGGTCTCGTCGACGGCAACTGGAAGACGCGTCTCGCCGCCGTCACGCAGCTGCTGGACGCGATCAGGATGATGGATCCGGCGGAGATGTCCGCCCAGGTGATCGTGCGCACTCTGGCGAGGAAGCCCGGCTTCAAGGACACGAACTTTCAGGTGCTGAAGCTGCGCGTGGAGGTCGTCAAGTATCTCGCGGAGAATCACACCTTCACGACCACCGTGGCGGAGTACTGCCTTGTGGACATCGCGGAGAAGCTGGCGGACGCGAAAAACAGCTCGGTCGCCATCGAGACGCTGGTGGCGATCGCCGAGGCCACGAGCTTCGAGTACGTCGCGGAGGAGATCGTGTCCTTCGCGTTCAATCAGAAGAACCCGAAGGTGCAGCAGGAGACGCTGCTGTGGCTATGCCGCGGCCTCACCGAGTTCGGTTGCAGCCTCAACGTCAAGTCCGTCATCGAGAACCTGAGGAAGGCGGTGGCGGCGACGAATCCCGGCGTGCGCACCGCCGCCATCACCCTGCTCGGCACTCTGTACCTGTACATGGGCAAGCCGCTGCTGGCGTACTTCGAGAACGAGAAGCCGGCGCTGCGGCAGCAGATCGAGCAGGAGTGCGAGAAGCGCAGCGGCGAGGTCCTGCCGGCGCCCGTGCGCGGCGCCAAGGCCAAGAGAGCCAACGCCGCGAACGAGGACGAGGACGAGGACGAGGAGGAGAAGAAGGCGGGCGGCAGCGAGCCGGAGCTCAACGAGCTGGTGCCGCGCGTCGACATCAGCGGCCAAATCACCGAGGCGCTGCTGGCCGAGCTGGCCGACAAGAACTGGAAGGTGCGCAACGAGGCGCTGCAGAAACTCAACACTCTTCTCGCCGAGGCGAAATTCATCAAGCCCGCCATCGGCGACCTGCCGCAGGGCCTGGCGCTGCGTCTCGTCGACAGCAACAGCAAGATCGCGCAAGCGACTCTAGGTCGGTGTCGACGAATAAATTTAACTCTAGAATTATTTTTATTAGTAGAGTAACAGAATTGTCCCTTAAGAGAATGCTAGAGTGGTCTGTTTTGCCAATTTTTTTTAAACACACTATACTTTTTTTTGGCTGTGTAGAATGAAAAATCCTTTTCTGTAATTAAAGTATATATGCTTATACAGTGCGGAAGGTCGATTTGAAAGGATTTTTCAAGCCACGCAGCCAAAAAAAAAACGAATTTTCGAAAAATAGAAGGTAAAACAGATACGTCTCTGTTTTACCTTTTATTTTTCGTAAAATTCTTTTTTTTGGATGTGTAAAATGAAAAATCCTTTTCTGTAATTAAAGTATATATGCTTATACAGTGCGGACGGTCGATTTGAAAGGATTTTTCATTTCACGCAGCCAAAAAAAAAGAATTTTACGAAAAATTGAAGGTAAAACAGATCGGTACCTGTTTTACCTTCAATTTTTCGTAAAATTTCTTTTTTTTTAAATAAAGGTGGATCAATGCTCTCTCGATATTAGTCGTTCATTGAAGTCAGTCAACGATCGATAATCAATTGTATTTTAAATATATTGCAGTTATATGCGAGTTGCTGGCGATGGCGATCGGATCGCCCGTGAAGCTGCATGTTCGCGCGCTGTTCCCCGGATTTTTGCAGTGTCTGGGCGACAGCAAGAACTGGATCAGAACGGCAGCGATCTCCTGCATCAACACGTGGGGCGATCAGTGCGGCTACAAAGAGTTCTTCGACGGCGAGATGATAGGGGACGCCCTGAAGACGGGCTCGCCGATGCTGCGGACGGAATTGTGGAACTGGCTGGCGCAGAAGTTGCCGTCGATACCGGTGAAACAAATCTCTAAGGAGGAGCTTTTCGTATGCCTTCCGTATTTGTACGCCAATTTGGAGGATCGTAACTCTGACGTGCGGAAGAACGCTCAGGAAGCCGTTCTCGGATACATGATTCACTTGTCTTACGAAGCAATGGCTAGAAATACCGAGAAACTCAAGGTATATTTGCAGAATATAATCAATCCTTTTTGCGCAACAGATGTTTCTTTAAAGAAGAGAGTCAATTCTTAAATTACACGTGCAATCTGAGGAATTTAGCTTCAGAAGTGCAAATAGCGAAGTCGAATCTCTTACTATTTATTAATAACGAACAAAAAATTGCAGCCAGGATCAAGGACGGTGGTGCTCGCCGCATTGGACAAAGCTCGTCCAAGTTTACCGATGAAGCCTCTGCCCAAGAAGGAGCCTTCGGACGACAACATCCAGAAAGCCGGCGCGAAGAATGCGAAAGTAGCGAAGGTTAAACCGGTAATGAAATCGAACGTATGTGGTCTGACAATTCAGTTTGTAAATCAAATTTATTTAAATTCGAGCGAACGACTCCTAAATTAATGTTGCTTTCCTCATTTTCTCATCTAATTTTATTTTTGCTAAAAAATACCTTTGCAAGGATGTTTTTTCTCTTTCACGATGCCTCTAAGAATCCCTTGTTTCAGAAGGGCGCGCCATCGAAACCAGGCAGTGCGCGTAAAAAGGACGACGATGTGGACACTAGCCCTCTGTTGGTGGTCAACAATTTGAAGCATCAGCGTGTGATCGACGAGCAGAAACTCAAGGTGCTCAAATGGAACTTCACCACGCCCAGAGAGGAATTTGTCGAGCTTCTGAAGGATCTCATGGCTGCGGCGAATGTCAATAAGACTTTGAGAGCGAACATGTTCCATTCCGATTTCCGCTATCATCTAAAGGCCATCGAAGCGCTCACCGAGGTAAATATTTGCATCTGAATCAGTATGTGTACATAAAAAAATCAGTGCTTCACTTTAAATTTTCTTTAATTATATCTAAATATGTATAATTATGTCTAAATTTGATTTGCATATAAATTAATTTTGTATACAAGAATATTTTTTATTAAATACATACAAAACTTTCGCTTCTGATTTTGGATGAAGTTTTACTAAATAATTGACTAGATATTTAATTCACTAATATATTTACCGAACAATTTTATGAAATATTCCGCACATCGCGTTTTAACGTTTCTGTTTGTGTTCCTTTTATCAGGATCTTCCCGGAAATAGCAAAGCGTTGGTGTCTAATCTGGATCTCATTCTCAAGTGGTTGACATTACGATTTTTCGATACTAATCCGTCGGTGCTGTTGAAAGGATTGGATTATTTGCAATTGGTTTTCAACATGCTGATCGAAGATCAATATCACATGTTGGAAACCGAGGCAGCCTCGTTCATTCCTTACCTCATTATCAAAGTACGTCGCACGCCACTTCTCGTAATGACGCTCTAACATCAAATGCGCCTCAATTATTTATTGTCATCTTCGTTCGACAGATCGGCGATCCGAAGGACGCCGTGCGTAATGGCGTGCGAGCTCTGTTCAGGCAAATCGCTCTGGTATATCCCGTGAGCAAGCTGTTCTCGTACGTAATGGAGGGTCTGAAGTCGAAGAATGCGCGACAGCGAACAGGTTAGGAAAATCGATCGCGAGAGTTGTCGCATATAATTCGCGCTATTGTTACATGAAATTGTAAACACGCGCCTGGCGCTTTTAGAATGCCTGGATCAATTGGGATCGCTGATCGAGAATTACGGGGTTTCCGTTTGTCAACCCACCCCGTCGGCGGCGCTGAAGGAAGTCGCGAAGCAGATAGCGGATCGCGACAACTCCGTGCGGAACGCCGCGTTGAACTGCATTGTTCAGGCCTACTTTCTTCAAGGAGAACGCGTGTTCAAGCTTATCGGCCAGGTATGCGATTTGAACTCGATTGCGATTTGCGCAAAGCGGATTGGATTGATTTATGTCGCTTGTCGCAGATATCGGAAAAAGACAAGTCCTTGTTGGACGAGCGAATCAAGAGAGCTGCGAAGAATCGACCAGCCAAGTCCGCGTCCTCCACCAGACTCTCCGTGCCTACCGTCGCAACTTCCAGTCCGCCAACGGACGATATGGAGGCGGATTACGAAGAGGAGCAGGAAGAGATTCCCGAACCGGTCGAGTCGATGCCAGAGCTGTGAGTTTCTTCGCATACTGTGATATTGTTAAAAAATCATTTTGTTTTTAGCTGCGCGTTCTACACTTTTCTGCAATTTCTCATTCTTTATTGAATTTTTTTATTCTTATTTTACTCTATTTTTGAAGATGTCTTTATATCGCTTAAAGTGCGAAAAGTGTGTCAAAGTGCAGCTAAAAGAATTTATTTATTATTATTTATTAATATATTTTGAGAAAACAGTGTCGCATATAAAAGGGAACAAAATGTGTATCCACGAAGTCACTCACAATTGTGATCTAACCCACTTGTTAAATAATAAAATCTCTTACAATTTAACAGTTTAATAATCCAAAAAAGATTTGATGGCAAATTTATCTTTTAACAAAAACTTGAGCTATTTCTATGTACAGAAACGTATTTAAAATCACTTTTAATGACAGTTCAATTATCATTATTTTATTACACTTATATTAAAATAATTAAATGACAATTATTTCAAAACTCTACATTCTTTACTCAGTTTTATTATATTTCGCACAAAACGATCGTTACAATTTTTGTCGCGCGACATGTCATCTTAAAATCACTCACATTTGCATGTATTTCGCTTTTTAACACATCCACAGAGCATGTGCTAAGCGCACTGACAATAATGAAGACGAGCCGGTGCCTTCTCTGGTCGTTCAATCGCCTTCAAAACAGGACGAGGAATTTACCAGCGATAGCGAAACCAATTCACAAAATCATCTCTATAACGGTCAAAACGATTCGAAAACGTTTGTTGCTTCTTTTAATCATTTGCAAAGCTGTCTCTGCAACGCGTTCTAACACGATGGTGCTGGGAAATGTCGGGGAATTTTGTCGTTTACACTAACTTACAATAACTCGCCTACGAGAGTGTTTGTACATCTGTTCATTTTAGTTTTGCACTTATACTTTCTTTTTCTCTCTCCTTTTTCCCTTCTCGATGTGTCTAAATTATACACCTGTCTTGTTTCAAAAGCAGAAAGTGTGTCTAAAACGAATAGATTTTGTATCATCAAACCTCCTGTATAGATTATGTCAGAGATTGATTCTTATTATGTAAGAGTTTATATAATTCTTATATATCGATTATATCTGAGTAGTATAATGTATATTTGATTTTATGTGTGTATGCGTCATTTCTCAACATTTCAAGAATTTTATTAACATATTTATATGTACGATGTGTTGGTTTTCCAGGAATTCCCCCACATCCGCTCAACCGAAGGTCCCGTCTGGTCCTTTCGGGCTGGACATGGAGTTCTTGCAAAAAATCGAACTGAGCGCCCCGGTGAAATATCGCATTCCAGTACTGGCGGAACCCAGATTAACGTTCATGAACGAGAAGCCGGCGAATGTGTTAAACCCGCCGAAGACACAGTAAGTTATGAAAGACAAAGTCTTGTAAATGATGTATTTAATTATTGTTAATTAGTATTATCAAATCGGAGTATTTAAAAAGATAGTATTATTTATAAATCTTACGTGATAAAATATATACATTTTCCAAAGTGAATGCACTTACATTAATTTGTGTATTAGTATTAAATTGAATATTTAGGTTAAGTTTTCTGTTACATTTTTTTATGTTGATGCACCTTTCAGAATGATACCGATTTCACCGCCCAAATTGTTGGTATCAGCGTCCACTGTATCTTCCTCTACTGCTAGCAGTGAAGATGACACTTTGGAGCGCAACATTTTGTCCATGGCCAGTATGGATTTGCCTACGGCGATAATATCCATGAACGCGATAGAAAATGTTTGTATTCAATTGCCAATTCGATATGCACACTAGATAGGGATCTAAGAAACTTTATAATATTTTTGTATCGCAGTTGCTGAAGTCTCATCAAGCTGCCAGCATGCAATCCAAGGAGGACAAATTCATCGGGTCGGTAAATATGCAATTGAAGTTGCTGCAAACGTACCCGTTGCGTCAACATGAAAATTTGGACGTGTCCAGAGGCTTCAGAAATGCATTCCTGGTTGTACTCGCTGTAAGTACCGTCACTTCACAATTACGAATTATCGTACGAATTACATATTTCAACAATGTGATGAAAAGTGGAAGGATTTCAGTAAGATTTGATAAAACAAAACATTTCAAAATACATTCTTCCAAGAAATTTCAGCGTGTAACGAGCTTAGAATACGAATAAAAAAGAAATATGGTTGATGATTTTAACAAGAAATTTCTTTCAAGTTTTACGACACTGGCTTTCTCGGGAAGAATGTCTCCTTTATGCACCTGAAGGAGTTGGTAGACCAGATGATAAGCCTGCTGGCGGAGGACAAATTGGAACATATACATCAGGCCGGAGCATATTACAGGGTGATCAACAATATCATGGTGAAAATCATCGATTATTCCAATCACACCACCATCATATGGTAAGATTTCAGTGAGGAATCATCATGAACTTATCTTAACTTTTGCTCACCGCGTTTGTTTCCAGTGTACTGATCAAATTGCTTCATTCGTGCGCCGAGTCGAACGTTCCCTCGAAGTACGAGGAGTTGGTGATGAAGTGTTTGTGGAAAATAGTGAAAACTATGTCGAATTGTTCTACGGACTTGGATTACGATGCGATACTCTTGGAGGTGCACCGTTTCCTTAAGGTAGTACGGTTTGCTTTAATCTCTAATGAAATCTGTCACTGCTTATTTAATTTGAAAATTAAATTTATATTTTACTTATACAAGATGTATGTCATTTTCTTGTAGGATTATCCTACTACATGGTGGAAGAAACGGAAATCCGATATCCCGCTACGGACAGTTAAGACAATTGTTCACAGTATGACCAGAGTGAAGGGCAGCTCGATACTTAATCACTTGACGCTAATTAACAACACCAACGAGTCCGAATTACACACTTACTTAATAAGATCAATCGCGGTTAGTTAATAATGTTTTTCGCACTTCTTCTCTCTTTTGTTCAAAACTTAGAGATAGCATTTTACATATTATAAGATAAATTGTCCCAATGTTTGGACATTTCAGAGTTGACTATAATTGAGGGTATAATTTTTTGTATTAAAATAATAGTTTTCTTATCTTTTTTGTATTTATCTTTTTTATCTTTTTGTACATATAATAAAGATTCATTCATCAAGAAAGTCACTTGACAGAAATAAAAAAAATTACGATTTATATTAATTAATAATCAATTAAATACTCGCGGAAGATGTCGGATATGCATGTACTGTGTCCGAAATGTGATGCTTTTTAAATCAATTTGTTTCTAGCTGGAAAAATGCTTCTTTTCTCTTCGTAAAATCGTTAAGGTTAAATTGCTTAGTTTATTGTATTGTATAATAATTTTATTAATATTATTGTATTGTATTAATTGCAAATTTAATTCACTAATACTTTTCTGATATGATTTTTTGAGTTTTATAAGTATTAAGTAATAAATATTTTGGCAATGTATCGGAGATTGGAACATGTCTAGCATTTACCTTCTAAAGCATTTTAGCATTACTTTATAGACACGAAATGTACCATAACAGCAATTAATTCGCACCTTTTGTCGATAGAGCCTTAAACCAGACGAGATTAACGCTATGGCGAACGCGACTCCAAAATCGAATAATCTCGGAAGGACGCAAAAACATTTATCTAAGTCCACTCGTCAGCAATTGGCGGAAATATTTACGAAAATCGGAACGAAGGAGCACATGCAAGAAGTATGTATGCAGAAGTAAATTAATTACGATTCTAATTGCAAAAATTACAGCATATCTTAATGCGATACTTTAGCGCGACGTTAATTGTCTGCGTATTTTCTTGTCACATGCCCTTCTCAGGCTCCCGACGATGTTAGAGCGCACATTTTTAATTCGTTCCACCCTTTCTTTGTAGGGCTTAGTACAGTTATACGACTTTAAGCTTCAATACCCCGAAGCCGACGTGCAACCGTTCCTGGTAAGGTCCCATCAATTCTTCCAAGACTTCATAGAGCAGGGACTAAGGGAGATCGATCAAGCGCGAAAGAACCAGAACGTTTTGTCGCAAGCTAACAATCAATATTCCATGGATAAATAGTGCTACTTAAAAACCCATTATTAATTTGCGCGAGATAGTTGATGTTAATAGGATGGCTCGTGCCGTCTTTTTGGGCTGAAACGTGTGAAACAAAAAGAGTTTCCATTTCTTGATTAATTTATCAATTTCCGAAAGTTTGAATAAATCCTGGATTAATTGACAAATGGAGACTCCGTTTGCATTCGAAAGGGTAGGATTTAATCATTGAGAATAATCTCATAGTCTCTCACAAATATATCATATTAGTTACTATGTTCTGTGAGATACAGTCTGATTACTTACGTTCATTGACCTAATTTAAGTGATTCGCATGATTTGCCGTTAACAAAAGACTTAAAAAAAAAACCAGCGCGAATCGTGAGAAATGATATTAGCTGCGCTGTCAAGTACATGCTGAAATGACATAGCGATTCTGCGTTTTAGCTTTAGGAATTGTTAAGTTCTCGCAATGTAAGAAATATTGCATGCGTGCTAATGCCGAATACATTTTGTCCTCCGTTTTGTATGGTTTGTCAAATCCACGAAGGTGAAATAAAATAAGCTTATTCGGGAAACAATATAAGATATTTGATTAAACGCAAAGCGTACAAAACGAAGGAATTGAATAACGTGAAATCGAGTCGGGCTACGATGAGAATGACACTTCAATTTCGTATACTTATGTATTTTTTATATCCGATTATTACGATTGATCTTACATGATAACATTATTATCTTTGATAACCATGATATTAATTGTATAAGATCAATCATAATAATTCGATACGGTATGTATATAAAATTTGCACAATTCAAGTTTCAATCTGATTGTAACCTGATTTTGTTTTACGCTGTTTGACTCGTATGTTACTTCGTCTTCTGAACAAACTCGCTTAATTTCATACATTAGATTCATATTCATCGTTGCTGCTTTGATGAAATCTTCTGTTCTCTTGCGAAGCGAAAAAAAACTATTATTCAACATTTTCTGCACTCTCGTTTATTCACCAAATATTTAAAGAGAGGAAAAATAAATAGAAAATAAAAAAAATGTCGCTATGTAATTAATAGAAAATATACAAGAAGTTTTAATGATTAAAATTGTGCTTTGATAAATCTTTTGATATATAAAACTTTAACTTTAAAATTGATCGATATGTACATCGTTTTCAATCTAAAACAATTTGTTTTGGATGGAAAGTAATACAGCGCGCAGGATGTTTCACGAAAGCAACAACGATCTGTTTTATTTATTGAGAAGCAAAGCTATCATACCCCAATCAAATATTTATGAATAGGATCAAGGAATAAAACGTACAGATATTGTAGCGAATATAGCATCTATATTGGTGCTTATTACTTGATGTAACGAAAAAAAAATTATGTCTAGTCGCAAGAAGCTTGTAACTGTGAGAGAAGTCCAAAATGAAATTAAAATACAAATAAGGAAGTTATCGAGCTACGCGAGATGTTAGCGCTAACAATTACAATTTTAGCGTAAATCGGATACATAGTTTTATATGTTTCAGTCAGTGATTCGACAATCTTCAATGTTAGAAAACGTATATGTATTAAATTTATGTTGAAATTGTAATTGTTAGCGCCAACATCTTGCGTGGTTCGATATCTTCTTTGTATTTTAATTTATTTATTCTTACGAGCCTAAAATTTTTAAAATTAAAATTTCAGGATAAGAAACTGTCCAATTGAAATATTTTGAATGCGAGTTGATGTTAACTTCCAGAAAATTATCTCATTTAACTAGCACTAGTTACAAGTGAAACAATTAAATATTACAAAGTACTTAGTTGTATGTATGTTCAGAAGTATTTGCACAATTTTACAAGGATTAATTGATTCTTTAATTTATATCGATTACAAGAATCAATCAATCATTAATGATATAAATTAAATTGTATAATCTACTATAAAGTAAATTATTAAATAATATATAAATTGTTATTATCAGAGTATAAATAGTACAAATTATGATTACTGACGCAATCATTCTTCTGCTTCTTTCATATCGAATAAGATACTCGTGGCTAAATAATTTTCAAGTTATGAGATTCTTGCGACTCGATGGGCGTATTTATCTTCTTACTATTGGTGCAGAAAAAAAAAGAACAAAGTGTAACCAAATATCCACCCAGTAAATTATCCAAAGCGATTAGACGGCTTTACTATTCGAATATTTTACGATTACGATTTGAAGTTGCTATATTTGAGAACTTACCGCTTTTTCCGAAGACTCATATTCTGTAGTGTAAATAGTACATGTATATACACGCACTAATAAAATTGATATTCGACAAAACTGTACAACTCTGTGTGTGATCGGCGAAGAGAAGGGATTGTATGCACAGCTTCCCAAATGGCATTCCTTCATACGTTGATTATTATTAAGTAGTATTTGTCACACGAATTGCATGCGAGATGCGACAATGCATTTTGAGAGTTTCAATTTTAGGTAGTTTTATCAAACTGTGTTCCACAACGCCATCATAGATTGTGTTGATCAAAAAAGCGCGCTTCAATTTCTGCGAGATGTGTTTGCGATTTTTTTTTTTTTCCAAACAAGTTACAAGTTTGTAGAACTTTGGGAAATTTGTGCAATATTACCGATGCAGTTTTGATACGCAACGATATTTATTTATTTCAATGTAAGCTCTTTTACAATATATGAATAGATTTCTGTAGATAGACTTTATTTCATAAATTTGATGTATCCAATGTGATGTCATTTACAAATTCTATTTACAATTTTTCTATTACGCTCTATTTTTTTCTTAAAACAAATATTATATATTCCGCCGCAAGCTTCTGTTTGGAACATTTTTATAAATAAATTTTGTGTTCTATTCATAATCTTTTAATTATTTTTTTTTTTTGTTTATATCTTATATAAAACTATTTCTTTTCGGTATCTTACAAACGGCAGAAAAGTATAATAAACTTATTTACATGAAGTACAGTCGAATAACATATTTCGAGCCGAGAAATTAGCTATACGAATGTCAGTATTGTGTTACGAGTATTCCTGCGCTGAATGCTGTACATTAATGTCACCGCATTAAAAGTAGTTTAAAATAATTCAAAGTGCGTTATTTTCGCACGAAGAAAAATGTATTGTTTTCTGCATTCTGTAAAAGAGTCAGTTTTTAATAACAGTAGAATAGATATTTCGAAAAGAATTTTGCGACTCTGTTGATCTTTCACTTTTACAGTAAATACTGAAAAGAACTTCACACATTTGTACTAACATTTAATATTCACAAGATTTGTTCTCGATTTGTTATCGATATAGCTTATACACTATAATCTATCGTCTACGTTAGAAGACAGTTCTCTATGGCTTAAATTGGCCGGATTAAACTTTATATAATTCTGGAATAGAGTCATACTGTAAAAATATACAACATCTCACAAATGTACACATGTACAAATTTTTATAAAATAATACAAATACTGGTGGAAAGAATTTTTGTAGCTAACGGGAGGAGGATCCTCAAACATCTTCCATAGGATTCACAAAGAGCGCCGTTACAGCGAACAGCAGGAACACTAATCCTCCAATAATAGTCACTGAAAATGTTTCGAGTCTTAAATTCATCATCCCTTTGCGAGATCTTGGTAGTTTGTTCAGTTAACACGTTTGGCTTCACGTGGCACGCACACGTGACGGAAAAATAATCTGCTTTTGAACGTTACCTGTTCTCACTGATATCCTCTGGGCTATTATACGCCCTCCTAATACTGCTAAGCCTGTGCAAAATGAATGACCTAATATTCCACCTAATACAACTCCGTAAACATCCTGCAATATACATTAATGCGATTAAAATTAAATCTACGTACACAAAGACGCTGCTATTGTCGAGGTGAAGCAGTTACCTCTCTCGCAGCGAGAATAATTGTAGTTAACTGAGAACGATCGCCCCATTCAGCGAGAAAGGTAAGGGTGAACGCTTGGAGCAATATCCTGGAAAGCAACATAAGTGCGCTAGCTTTTGTAGCTTTTCGTATGACTCCTGTTTCAGCATCCTGAACTAACGTACTCGCTGTTTCCTTTTCATACTGAAAGCGATGATATTTAAAGATTATTTAATCTCCTGCAAAAATGTTAGAGCCCATCGTTTGATTCTCTGATATTTTAAAAATTAATTCTTTTAGCAAAGTATCCATGACCTTTTTTTTCATAAATGGATAGAGAAATTTGATGCGATTGAAACAGAGAAATAAAAAAGTAAAAAATAATAAAATGCAGAAAATTATATCTTAAATCTATAATTTGTATAACTGTATAATTGTATGATGTTTGTATAATTATAGTTTGTATAATTATAGAAAATAAAAACTTTTATTTAATAAAAAATTTAAATTATGTACTTTAAATGTGATATTTTCTGTAGATTTATGAACGCCTGATAGATTGCGTGTGCGTGTGCATGTATCTCTTTCTGTGTTTGTGTTTGTATTTGTATGTGTATGTGCATCTACAAAAGAATGTTTTAAATTTACTTCATCATCTCTTTTCCTCAGATCCGACTGAACCTCCTCCAACTCTTCTTGCGCTTCTGTCGGTGACATGTAATATCCGTCTCGTAACATTTTTAAACCGAAAAGAGCAAAAAGAAGAGTGGAAATGTAATACGTATATGCACGAGGAATTATAGTAGCCGCATATCCAAATACCACTGGAAAATAAAAGATGTTTCATCTTTCTGTCCCGTTGTCTGATTGGAACATTAGAATTATACTTCACTTGTGTGTAAGAAATGTAATTTACACAATATTATATAATAAATTGCTGTGCAATTACTGTACTACACCACGGCAAACAAAATGTTGGTTCTCAGAACATTTCCAAGGAAATCAAATATATATATCTCACATGTAATCATTCAATAATAGTTTTCGCAAAATTGCTAGAAAATACCTGATAAAATAGTCATCAGAGCAAGAGCACTTATGGCTCCAACAAACACAGTCAATCTGGGATGTTTCATTGCCATAATAGCGGCGATGAAAAATGTTTTATCGCCTAATTCTGATACAACGATGACTGATAAAGCTGCTATAAAAGCGTGCAAAAATCCTAATCTATCTTGTGGTTTTTCAGATACAAACTCTGGCAGTTTCTAAAAAAAAATATATAAATTAAATAAATTTATATTAAAATATTAATATTTTGAATTATCTTTTAGAATTTAAATATTTGCAAGTCAAATATTTATGATTCTTTATAACGTCAATTAAGTATGTACAGTTTAAGCTGATAACATCTTTCTAACATTTTCTTTGGAACGTGTTAAGATTAAAATTTTTTCGCAAATTCAGGATTTTTCCAAGATTTAAATAAATTAAAGAGTCTTGTAATTTTTTCAGAACTTTGATATATTTTTAACATTTCTGGTGACATTTAAAGATTTAGATCTAGTTTCCTTTTCGATTCGATAAAAATCTCTTTAACAGTTAAGATCCTTTTTTTATAGATTACGAATAGTCACAAGATTTGACGGATTATTGAAAAAACTGTTGAACTCACCGTCGACGTTGCGGTTTGAAATTTCTCATCGTAATGCGGCTGGATTTCACAGACAACAGTTGAGAGGTGAAAAATTAAAATCAGACAAAAAATATAAATTAAGCGTTCGACCCTCATCGTGCGATATGTTTAATATCGTCCGAATATTTTATTCTTGCGGGTGATATACGTGAAGCGTTACAAGATAACCTCAGAAAAAAACGACCTCCACTCGTATCTACAATCATACCGCAACTGCCATACTATTTCTACCATAAAATACGTTCGTAAAAAGGTTAGGTCGTACGAGTAAGGCCGGGTCTACAATAGTAAGCTTTAAGCCGTAAGAAATTGACCAATCACAGTCGCTTATTCTTCTGTGATTGGTCCACCAACCCAAGAATAACGTCCGTATGCGTTCGGCAGCTTAGCTCGGCTGGTAGAAGAGAACGGACATACCATTTTCTGTCTCACTTCTACCAAGCCGACAAATATTATTTTATATTTATTAAAAATATTCGCATATGTTAAACTTGCACTTTGTGGCAAAATTGTATCATGAGCAATCTACTACGTCTATGGTCGTTTCATTGAAGTAGATAATTTTCATGAAGTAGATAGATTGGGGAATTAAAACAGAAATGTTTCCTACATTGGGGACTTGGTAACAAATTGTTGCATCGCGTTCATGCGAGCGATCAACTCATTTCACAATATAAAAAAATTTATTTTTGTGTACCAATTAAAAAAAAAAAAAAGATTTTTTTAGAACAGTTACATAAAAACTCCTTTTAACAATTAAAAAATTTTTTGATTGGCTAGTGACGATTATCTTAGTTACAATTTTTTTGTAATTTTGAAGAAATAGCTTTAAAAATATGCAAAAATGATTTTTACGGTAATTTATAATAAAATTCAATAACCAAAGTACTGTACATTAATTTAAAAGAAAAAAATTACTCCAAAAAAACATCTTAATAAAATTTATATCAATATCAAGTTCTACGTTCGATAAGTTCTTATCATTTTCTTTCTTTGTGCAACGCTATTTATCGCTAAGGAATAAACAACGATTTCAGAGCACTTTTATAAAGATGGTAAAGAAACAAGAGAACGCAGATACTTCCCACTTTATTTTTCAGTTATTATATTTCATACTTCTTTAAATCCAAACACATCTATTTGTTATCTATCGACGAAATGATATATAATAAATATCCGCATTATACCTTAAAATTAACAAAATATCTTTCCTTCTTTTTTTTTTGTTATCTTCCTTGGTCTAAAGTATATGCGATTTATTTTTATTATTTTCTTTTTTTAGAAGCTTCTCTTTCCTTCAAAGACATCTTTTTATAAATTTAAATGCAATGTATCCGTCGTAACAACAACCAGCCTTAGCCAATAGTTTATTCATTATTATTATTATTATTATTATTTATTATTATTAATATTATTAATATTATTAATATTACTATTACTATTATTTTTCAAGAAAGACGTTGCAAAGCGAATAAATCAGACCAGAATGATGGAATTATATCCATTACATAAATTCTTGGTGTGTATAGCGAGTCGCTTATCAAAAACCTTAAAAAAAAAGGATGAAAAGGGAGAATGCATCCAAGGATATAGTAGTTAATTGTTCCCTCGCTATTAAAATAATCGTCCACGGGAAACAAAGGGCAAAAAAGAAAGGGAGATAGGAGAAAAAAGAGTGGCAAGACATATTGCGTCTGCTAAAAATTCGATATTGATTACTCACATCTCACTAGGAAACTACGTTTAAAGTGGGCTAACAATAATATTTAAAGATCCTCGAATCTTCATTTTTTTATCTCTAGTTTAATTTACATCCCATTCTATACAATAGAGCGGTATGTGTGTGTGTGTGTGTGGAGTGAGCTAGTAGACTCGTCGTCTCTTGAAAAATTACCTATGCGGATCGAACTGTTTAACGTTTATATTCTTCTTCCTCGTAGAAATTTTGGCATTGTATGCGATTTCGCTTTTTTCTCCTTTTTTTTTCTTTTTCTTTATTCAATTGCGACACTAGAGCACGTCGTAAGCAAAATGAGACAGCAACAGAGAGAAGACAGAAATTCAATTTAATTAACAAGTTAAACTGAAATTCCATAGATTAGTCGATGCGATTGTACATATTGGATTATGAAAAACAAGAGACTCAACGCAACTGATTTTTGCATATGTCGAAACAGTGAGAAATACACTTTTTCTTAAGAGTCCTGCATTAATTTCAATAATAATTTAATTCGAATTCACGGCATAAATTTGTAGAGTAATTTTAATTTAAGAAACATATTTTTTAAGTTGCAAAGTTTATTCGAAATCGTCCACAAATATAAAAATGGGCTCGTTCAATGTTAGTTTGAGTGAAAAATCAATTTGAACATATTTATACGATTTCTCGGTTTCCGGATATCATCGTGTTTGTTTACTGATCAAAAAAAGTCCGAAGACGAGGCTTGCTCACGCGAATCTCATTTTGTTAAACGGAAAAAAAAAAAAAAAAAAAAAACCGGAGAAACCGATCTTGGCTATTAGGCGCGCACACTGCTTGAAAAATCACTACTACTAAGCGCTGGCGGTAGAAACGCGTGAGAAAAAAAAAGTAAAATATACAGAAAGAAAGAGAGTGCCTCACACTAGATGTCCATAGATGAGGATCGGCAGCAAACAACGTCACCTCCTCGTGTGTTACATCGTCGTAAAATAGAAATTTGTAGAAATCACTATATACGGCTGTCTCAGTTAAGTAGACATCATCTGGCGCGATCGGGAATCGCGCGGGTGAGTCAGGGCAGAGTGTAGCGCACATACGGCACCTCGACATCGTTCCCATCGTCGTCGTTGCAACACAACTCAAACACGAGGGCGCGCACATGCGGCTCCAGCTTCTTCTTCGACACTTTCTTCACCACCTCCGACATCAGCAGGCCCATGCGCTCCTGACACTTGGGCTTCGCCATGAAGAACGAGTACAGCATGCAGATTCCCTGCGACAGCATGGTCACCTCGAGGTTGTGACGTTCCTTGAAGTAGTCGAGGAACTCCTTCAGCGTCAGCTCGCCTTTCACCTCGAAGCGGTCCCACAGCGTCCACTCGATGTCGTAGTACTTGAGCTTGGGGGCGGCGATCGGCTCGCTGAAGCCGAAGAACGGCAGCGCTAGGTTCACAAAGCCGTTCTTGTACAGCGTCAAGTCGCGCACGCCTTGCGTCAGCTTGTACAGCTCCAGGCAGACGAGACCGGCCACCACCGAGGTGGTGGTGGCGATCGCCGGAATGATCTTACCGGCGATCAGCTTGCTCTTGTGCCGATCGGCCGGCGAGATCTTGTAATTGGTAGCGCGCAGATTTGACGCCGCGACGATGAAGTCTATGTGGAAATTGGCGTCGTCGTCCTTCTCGAACTCCTGCGGGTAGATCGCCAAGCTGTTCAGATCTTCCATCTTCGGCAGCTCCTCCTGCAGCTGCGACAGTCGCTCGTGATCGATGTTACCGCTGCCGTTCGACACCTGCACCTGTAAATACAATTTTCCGTCTCTTTTGATTTTGCAAAAGTCGCGAATTCCCGAGCAGCGACTCTTTAAAGTTTTACAAACGCTTAATCTTTAAATCGGAAAAAATTCCCCATTTCCTTAATTTATCTACTCACCTGTGAATCGGTCTCGGCTATCTTAACGCCGGACTTGGGCGTGAATTCGGGGACCTTGACGGCGGCGAGAATCCTAGCGATCTCTTCTCTATCGCGATTCGTGGGTATTCCGTAGACCTTGGCTTTGAGATTGGCAGCGGCGATGATATAATCTATGTGCAGGGGATCGTTGACGTCGAAGGCCAGCGGATCCGGGCAGCGCTTCGGACCGGACCAGAACGGCTGGCCGCTCGAAGTCACCTGGTCCGGCGGAAAGTTGAACAGCAGCTGACGGATCTGATTGCTGTACTGCTCCTGCCAGTGGCAGCGAGCCCACGCCACGCAATCCGCGAAGGTGTTCGGCTTTTCGTCGACCAGCGCCGTTTTCACGGACTCCAGCACTTCGAGGGGCTGCACACCGGGCAGCTTGAGCGTTCGATCGATGAACTGCGCGTCGGAGATGTACTGCGCCGCGTTCTCCGCCGACTGACGGAACAGGCCTTCGAAGCTGTCGCGTGCCCACTGCAGGGTGTGCTCGATGGCGTTTGGGAAGTTCTTGAGCGTGCAGATCGGAATGCTCTTCTCCGGCGGGTCCTGCGACGAGCTGTACGACTCGGTCAGGAACGGCACCACCACTTGGGTGTTGCCTTTGGTGCCGAGGGTGCCGGATTCCAGCAACGGCTTGCGATAGTACACGCAACGGCGATCCATGTAGATGCGCGCGTTCACGTTGTCGAGCGCGTTCGCCACGCCGTCGAGGACCTCGAAGAAATCGTCGTTGTAGATCTTCTCCGTTTCCGGGCACACCCGGTTCTCGTGCGCGACCACCTTCATGGCACGGTTCATGCCCTTAATGGCCCTGGCTGCCGTCGACGATTTCGACTGCTGCACGTCCGACGGTCTGAACAGAAACTGTCGGTTCAAATTGGACTTCTCGATCAAGTCCATGTCCGTCACCGTGACGCAACCGTTCTCCGCGCCCACGCCGATCATCGCAAAGTTCTTTAGTAATTCACAACCGATTGCACCAGCACCGACCACGAAGTATTTCAAGTTGCCGATCTTGGACTGGAATTTCCGACCGAAGACAGCCACCTGAAGAAAAAAAGCAGTCGGATCAGCGATCGTTGAGCGACGAAATTAATAATAATTCATATTTTAGACGAATCGGAGTAACAATTTTTGAATTCAATTGTCAAATGTTTGTACCTGAGAGTCGTAACGCGATTCTGTGGGACAGCAGTCTTCCTCGGTCAGTTCCGAACGATCGGCCGGCAGACATTCGATGGCGTCGAAATAGAGCCATTGATAGATGGGATGGAACTTGCCGGAACAGGCTTTCATCACCTCCTGAGCAACGATGCCGCCGATCGTGGCGTTCATGGGATTCAGATTGCCGGCGGACACCTTGGCGAACGTGGCCAGTAATTCACTATTGATTTCAGTGTCGAAACCGTAGCTATCCTTGACCTTCTCGGCGACGGTGAGAAACTCGTCGGCGTCCGCCTGGTTCCACGGTCGCGGCAGCCTGCCCTCATTAGTCTTGTACTGATGCAGCGCCAGAAAGGCCAGATGCAGCTGCTCCGGATAGTCGAACTTGCCGAAGTCCGTGATGAGGAACTCGGGTTTCTTCAGGGCCGTCTTCAGCGGCTCGAAGTGCAAGTTCTTAGGCATCTTCACTTGAGTCACTATGCCGCCGCGTACGTACTCGGAAAACCTGAATAACGGAGGATCGTTAATAAAGTCGTTGCAAAATCGAAACCCCTATTCGTGTTCCAAGTCCGCCGACATTTACAGCGAACGAAAATTGAAAGACATTTTTGCGGTTTCACGGATGATTCTTTTTCCTAGATCAATGGATAAGATGGCGAATTTGCGCGGAACAACGAATATATTCGTCGTCGCTCGCATGCCTCACCTAGAAGTGTCGCCGATGCTGAAGGTGTACGGTCCCAAGACCTTGATCTTGAGCGGCTCGCATCCGTTCAGCTCAGTCATGCCTTGCACCTCGGAGAAGGTCACGTAGTCGCCGTCCTCCATGCTGTGGCGGGTGTCGTCCAGACACGTGACAACGCCCTCGCTGTCGCGGGAGACGCTGGCGATCATCGCGCTCACCGGCGGCTCGCCGTTCGTGTCCACCACTGTGAAGGTGTCGCCGAAGTCGCAGAACACCTGCGAGAAGAGGCCGTGGGTGTCGGCGATTATGAGAGCTATATTATTGGCATGGGTGATCTCCGCGATGCGCAGCTGCTCGTCCAGCGTCGTTTCCGTCAGCACCACGACGTTAAACTGCTGGATGTACTCCTCGCACATTGGCCCGGTGTACCAATTAGTGGGTACATAATTGTTCAGCTCGGCCAGGCGATCGCAGCACGCAGACGCGCGGTTCAGACCTGTCGAGCAATATCGGAGCATTAATTGTGTTACTTGTTTTACAATTATATCTTATTTCAATCTCACAACTAGTGCAATTCAAAGAAATAATAAATCCACTTAACATTTGTATTGCCGTTTTATTTTTATTTTGTTTTTCTAATCGTTGATTACTAGTTGTAAGATTAAAATAATTGCAAAAATATAATAATAGTTTCATTAATTTTAATAGTAATATTAATATCGTCTGCTAACGCCTTATAAACAATAAACTTACTCCTTGGTCAATGAAGGAGGTTCTTTAAATTTTTTTGAAACATTATATACATATAGATTATGCACATATATAATTCAAGAAGAGATATTTCTCAGAAATTTAGTTTTTTCATGTCATATGTATTGATTTACTGTGCATCGGTATTACGCAATGACGCTCATTTGATTTAATATATTTCATTTGACATATATTTATAATATTTACAATTCTTTTTGTCATGCTTTTCTGATTAGTACCTCCGCATTAACGCAGATATAGAATAAAGAGTTTGTCATTCACAGGACGTTTAAGTAATATTTTGCAAGACAATTTCCTCATGATGACTTGCATTATTAGCATGCAGTCTGTATTTTATATCGCTGTTTGCAGAGATGGTAAATTAGAATTATAATTTTCCTGACAATGGTAACAGTTGTACCTTATCACAATAGAAATCTTATCGTCCTGGAGATTATCCTTTCTCGATTGTGCAAGTTTATTATTACAGGCAAACCTCCATTGGTGTTGTTCTGATAAATTTTATTAGACAGAAGAGAATTCTATGTATATGACTGGTTGCTATATACATAAGCATTACTGCAATTGATGCAACACTTTTATTATGCATGTAGTATTTGATATGTGTTATTATTGATATAATCTTTTGAGATTAATTACAAGATTGATATATATGTGGTCTTATTTCAGCTCACATTGTTAATTTCAGTAAAGTCGATTTTTAATGCTGCAGCTATGTGAAAAAATATATCTTACATTAATAATCAAATTTATTCACACAAACAAGTGCAGGAATTATTTTTGCATGGAAATTATAGCGATAAGTCCGAATTCTAAATTTGTATTCAATTTTTATTCTAAATTTGCGTACCTAACCTATTTTTGTCTTTTCTATAAACGTAACACAAATATTTTGCGCAGAAAAATAAGCATATTTAATGTTAAAAGTGAAATATAAATACAAATGTGATGCATGAAAAAAAAAAAAAAAAAGACAGGATTCTGGAAACGCTGTTCTTAAAACTCTCTCAATCTGTTTATATCTCTTTTTCCGCATCAAGCCAGTATAAAAGTGTCTTTTCGCGCTGACGCTCGGCGCTCTATTTCAGCATTAGAAAACATCATGTGATCAAAAACTACTGCAACGGTTGGTTATTTTTAGTCACGTGATGTCTTCTACACTGAAATTGAGCGCCGAGCGTCAGTGTGTGAAAAGGTACCTTAAAAGCCTATTCTACTTTGATAAAAATTCTGCATTTCTGCTTTAAATTCTATTTTCAATATAAAACGATAAAAAAAAGTGCTAAAAAGAGTTCGAACAAGTGGACCTTTGTGAAAAACATTGTAAAAGTTCTTTTGCACGTATCTATCTTTTTAAAACACGATACGCTTTTTTCCCAATATTCCATCTCAATCTCCACAAAAAAGTAAAATCATCGTCCGCCTGCAATATTTCAACACAGCGTTGCGTTATCGGAATGCTGGCGACTGACTGATCGAAAGTACAAAGCGCACTTTTTTTTTTCCTCTCTCTCTCTCCATCCTTTCCACGTTGCACGTGCCTGCGATCAGCGATCGGCGCTCACCCGCGCGCATTCATTGTTCCTCACCTAGGTCCGCCTCGGTGAGATAGAACTGCGAGCTGAGATCGGAGTGTTGGCACACAGCGTGATCGTGCAGCGTGACGGACTTGACGCCGCTGAGGATGACGTTCTTCGCGATCTCGACGCCGAGGCCGCCGAGGCCGTAGATGAGCACCTGTGAGGAGGCCATGCGGCGCATAGCATCGTGGCCAAGGACGTAGAGCTGCCGCGAGTACAGACCCTCGTCGATTTCGGAGGACCTACGTCGAACCCGGCCGGCGCCGCTCGAGGTGCCGCCGCTGCTGGAACTCGTGGAGCCATTCTTCGCCATATCTATGTCCATCTCCACCGCGTTCGTTGTTGTCGGCTCGTCGTCGGCTCCTCCCGTGCTGGCAGCAGCAAGGCGTCGCTTCTTGGCTGGGGGATCAACGGAGCACTCCGCCGCCTCAGCACTAGACATCGGAGGTCTTCACAGACGTGTCACGGAGACGTCGGATTACGTGCCGTCGATTGTTTCCCCTGATTATATCCTTTCTTTCTCTTTTTCCCTCTCTCTCTCTCTCTCTCTCTCTCTCTCTACT